GGTTAGGAGGAGGCTGTTCGGAATTTTTGCCTCCATCTGAAGTGCTGGCCACTGCTGGTGGGATGATCAGGTGTGCCAAAGGCTATGGCCCTCCATGGTCAACTGTATCAGACCCACCCCATCAAACATCCCCCTGCAAAGCCGCAGGCTGCAGCTGTTTTAAACCTGGTTTGGCATAAAATCTGCTTCTGTTATTTTGTCACGTTTTCTTTCAAAAAGAGACTGCTGCTTTCTGACTGAAATTCACTGGTTGAGGCCTGCAAATGAAGGCCCACCAGTGGCTGCTGGAGCAACACTAGGAAGTGCCAAAAGGAATTTTAAATACTGATTTATAGTATCACATTTATAACACGTCCCCCGGTCCTTCCAGTCAGACAGACACTTAAAGCGGAACGTCCTATTGATCAGCCTCCATTCCTGTAACCCAGTGTTTCCCAAACTTGGGACGCCGCTTGTGTGGGAAAAGCCCCTGGCGGGCCAGGCCGGTTTGTTTACCTGCCCCGTCCGCAGGTCCGGCGGATCGCGGCTCCCACTGGCTGCGGTTCGCTGCTCCAGGCCAATGGGAGCTGCTGGAAGTGGCGCGTCCCAAGTTTGGGAAACACTGCTGTAACCTCTCCTTGCACCCAGCGTGGCTCCATCCAATTGCAGCTGCTAACATCAAACCATCCGCCTGGCCTGTTTTCACCACGTTGCAGTTACCACTGGCTCCCACTTTCCCAGTCCTGCCCCTTACACACTGGACTCTCTCTGAATTAGCACATAAAGCCACGACCCTCTTCCTTCTTCAAATCCCTCCACAAGCCCCACTTCTACTGTGAAGCCCATGGACATCAACTGATCCCAGCTTGAGAGGGGGCAGTGGGGATTGCCAATATTTATTTATATCTTTTAAATATTTCAACACGTCAAACTGTACATCCAGGCAGCCTATGTAACTGCATGAACATACCTTATCCTCCCTCACCCCATTCTATTCTATGATTACATCTAAAAAGAAACAGACAAAAGATTGAGGTTGCAAAAAGTCAAACACTCTGGAGTTAGAAAATGCCCGATTTAAGGCGGTCTGTGCAACCTTCGTTCAGCCCCCTTGTGTGTATCAGTCAATATTTCTTTTTATCCTCCTCATTCAATGTGTGGCCCCAGACGTTATTTAACGCACACCATCCATCCTTGCACTGAATACAAAATGACTGATTTCCTCCCAGGCGTTTCTATGGTGCTCTCCCCACTTGAGCGATTCACAAACGTTAGGGGATTTATCTTCACAACACTCCAGAGAGCACTGGGGGGGAGGAGGCGTCATCCCCGTTTTCCAGCTGAGGAACTGAGATCCAGCCAGATTTTCAAAATATTATTTGACAAAATTGTCAAGTGACCAACTCATGATGCCCAGGGCCTGATTTTTCAGAGAGCTTAGCATTTTTCTAGTACTTTAGGAGGCCAAAGCACAGCTCCAGTTGACTTCAGCTGGAGTTGTGTCCTCTGCACTTCTGCCAATCTGCTCCCAGGTGTCTCATGGTACCCAGAACCACTGAGGAATACACCAGGACCCCAAGGAGCACACTTTGGTACAAAGTAGAGCCGACTGCAGAAGCCCTCATCTTCAATATGAAGGTGAGGCTCGGAGACTACGGTCCCATGGGAAGCTCCACCTTGATCTCAGTGGGAGGGGTGGTCACAGATCACATTAGAACGCCTTTGGCTACACATGACCACCTACCCAAAAAGAATCCTCTATCATTCCAAATAGAAGAGGAAGGTTTAAGTCAAACAAGCCGCCCCATGCAGTCCGTGTGCTTTAAAGAGTAGCCGCCCTGACTGATTATCCAACTGAAGAGCAGACAAACAACATTTAATAGCGATATCCCAAGTGGCCCAGGAATGGGGGTGGGAAGGCTGGTGTCGCAATGTATGGAAGGCATCCTGTCTTTAAATAACCTGCGGAAGTAAGTCTTGTTGAAAGCACCTCTCACAGCAAAGTGGAATGTAGTGAGGGAGGAAGACTCCATCTGGGCTAAGTATAGCCGAGTGATATAGAGATCTCAGTGCACTGGCAAATTTCAGCTTCAGTCTTTCAATTGGATCTGTACAGGCAGACTCCTGTGCCTGTTTCTCTCATGGATCAATACCTGGTTAAAAGATAGGAAATAAAGGGTAGGAATAACTGGTCAGTTTTCACACTGGAAGGAGGTAAATAGTGGTAAACAGGGATCTGTACTGGGACCGGTGCTGTTCAACATTCATAATTGATCTGGAAAAAGGGGTAAACAGTGAGGTGGTAACAACTGCAGACGAGACAAAATTACTCAAGATAGTGAAGTCCAAAAGCAGACCAAGAAGAGGTACAAAGGGATCTCATTAAACTGCGTGACTGGGCAACAGAATGGCAGCTGAAATTCAATGCTGATAAATGCAAAGTAATGCACATTGGAAAACATCATCCCAACTATATATACAAAATGATGGGGTCTAAATGATCTGTTACCACTCGAGAAGGAGATCTTGGAGTCATTGTGGATAGTTCTCTGAAAACGTCCGCTCAATGTGCAGCGGCAGGCAAAAAAGCGAATAGAATGTTAAGAACCATTCAGAAAGGGATAAATAATATGAACGAGGAGAGATTAAAAAGAAACTGTTCAACTTGGACAAGAGACGACTAAGGGGGGATATTATAGAGGTCTATAAAATCGTGAATGGTAAGGAGAAAGTGAATAAGGAAGGGTAATTTACTCCTTCACATAACATAAGAATCAGGTGTCACCCGATGAAATTAATGGGCATCAGGTTTAAAATAAACATAAGGAAATACTTCTTCAACACATAGTCAACCTGTGGAACTCATTGCCAGGGGAGGTTGTGAAGGCCAAGACTATAACAGACTTCAAAAAAGAGTTAGATAAGTTCAGGAGGATAGGTCCACTAATGACTATTAGCCAAGATGGTCAGGGATGCAATTTCATGGACTGGGCGGCCATCGCCTCTAAGTTCCAGAAGCTGGGACTGGGCAACAGGAGATGGATCACTTGATGATTGCCTGTTCTGTTTATTCCCACTGAAGCCTTGGCCACTGTCAGAAGACAAGATACTGGGTTAGATGGACCATTGGTCTGACCCAGTATGGCTGTTCTTATGTACTATCTGGAAGATCCATTGATTCACTGATTCTAAGTCCAGAAGGGACCACGGTGATCATCTAGTCTGACCTCCTGTATAACACAGGTCAAAAGACCTTCCCCAAAACAATTCCTGTTAGAATTAGAGGAACTCTTTTAGAAAAAAAACAGGATAAGATACGTGGAGATTTTGAGAGGATACAGTCTTTACTTTGAGTTATAAAATTAGCATGTTTTCTATTATAATATAAGTGTGTGTGTGTGTGT